CAGGGGACATTGACAGAAGGTCAAGAAATTGCTGTCAAGAGACTTTCAAAAAACTCTGGACAAGGAACTGAAGAATTCAAAAACGAATTGAAGTTAATTGCAAGGCTTCAGCACATAAATCTTGTTAGACTGCTTGCTTGCTGCATTGATAAGGATGAACAGATGCTGATTTATGAATACATGGAAAACAAAAGCCTGGATGCCTTTTTATTCAGTAAGTGCCTCAAATTTAATTATCTTTACTTAATAGTTAAATAAAGTTGTTATAAAGTAAGTCAAAAATCATTGTAGGCAGAGAAAAAAGGTCTACGTTGGATTGGCAAAAGCGTTACAACATTATTTGTGGTATTGCTCGAGGACTTGTTTACCTTCACCAGGATTCAAGATTTAGAATCATCCATAGGGATCTCAAGGCAAGCAATATTTTACTTGATGGAGAATTCACCCCAAAGATATCAGACTTTGGAATGGCTAGAATATTTGGTAAAGATCAGAACGAATCTCATACAAGAAGAGTAGTAGGAACATAGTGAGTATCATAAGCTTTCTATTTTGCTGATGATGTCAACCCAATTAGCTGATCAAAATACTAATCTCACTTCTTTTTATTGGGTGATCTGCAGTGGCTATATGTCTCCTGAATATGCAATGGACGGGTTCTTCTCAACCAAGTCAGATGTCTTTAGTTTTGGTGTTCTAGTGTTGGAGATTATTAGTGGCAAAAAGAACAAGGGATTTTTTAATTATTCAGACAATAAACCAAACCTCCTAGACTGTGTAAGTAAAAAGCGCATAGATTGTAATTACATTTCATTAGATGCACAAGTAACAAAGAAATGACTTGGATTTGTTGCAGGCTTGGAAGCAATGGAAAGAAGGAAAGGGGTTGGAGATAGTAGATTCATCACTTGGGAATTCATATTGCCCCTCTGAGGTGTTGAGATGCATTCAAGTTGGCCTTTTGTGCGTCCAAGAGCATGTGGTAGATAGGCCTACAATGTCCTCTGTGGTTTTCATGTTGAGCAGTCCAGATGCAACAATGCCGCAGCCTAAAACCCCTGGTTTTTGCCTAGGAAGGAACCCTGCAGGTCAAACAGACTCATCTTCAAGCAAGTTGGAAGGATCTCACACTACAGACCAAGTAACGATCGCAGCGTTAGACGGTAGGTAGTTAAGGTATGACCTTATCAAGCATGTTTATACATCTTACACAAACACGATTTTCTTGTGTATATTTAATCTGTGGTTAATTTTGTGTCAAAGGAATTAGAAGTCATGAGGTGATGCGAGACAAAGAAAGAGAAAAACGGTCTATACGCTCGCGTACACTTTAAGTTTTTCTCTGAAAGGTATGACTTCACAATTATTTTGGGGTGAACAAACGAATACATTAAACCAAAAGGGCCTAAACCAAGTACACCAAGCCAGAACGAAAGTAAACAAAGGGCAAGCTCAACATGCTGAGCAAAGACACGGGAAAAGCCCAAAAGATCAAGCAAAAAGCCAGAAACAAAACACCGACTCTACGGAAAGTTCAATCGCAGCCTTTGCACTCGTGAAGACGAAGAATCACCCAGCAGGGTCTAATTTCCAACGGTGGCATCACATTTTGCAATGTACAATTGTCAAGATATAAAGAAAAAACAAGAAGCTCACAAATAAAGTCTTTTGTGGCCACAATACTGAAGAAGATGGTGTAAATTCGTTCCCATAGCAACAATCTGCTGTGTAATGTCATATTTTGAAGATTGTAACAGCCAATTTATGCATTTCAGTTTGTGGCTTATCTAAAGGTTGCATCTCCAAATTCATCACTCTTTCATAAAGTTCACAAGAATGGATAGTTTAGAAATTTGTATTAAGGTGATGGGCGCATATGCAGTGCCCACATATGTCATATGAAGGTCAATAAAACAAATAACATTTTGATAATTGTGGAAACAAGAGCCTGAATCCTTATCGAGCGTCAAGTTTAGTTATTGTCAAGTCATTAACAGAATATAATCCTTGTGAACTTGATAGATAACCACCACTGCGGGAACTTTTTCTGAATACAAATGCAGGCTGCTGAGGAGATGGTAGAGATGCTTCACCACTCAACATAAATACAACAGCTGACATGGTTGGTCGGTCCTCTGAATCTTCTTGTACGCACAAGAGCCCGACTTGAATGCATCTCAAGACTTCATCAGAATGATATGACTGTAGTGATGAATCCACAATTTCTAAGGCTCTATCTTCTCTCCACAGCTGCCAAACCTGCAGTTGTTGACAGTAACATTTTCAGAAAGGGATGAATATGAGTAGTAACCAGGAAGGGGAAATTGTTGACAAAGTTTGTGTTGCTCACGTGTCCTATCAAGTTCATGGAATGGTCCTCTTGATAAGAGCCATTGTTTTTCTTGCCACCCACAATCTCCAATAATATGATCCCAAAACTAAAGACATCTGATTTGGTTGAATATCTTCCAAACACTGCATACTCTGGTGACATATATCCACTGCATTACAATGACCAAAGAGTAATAAGATGAATATGGAAGGTGAGATTATGGTGAATTAATCCATGAATCTGTGATTGCAAGTATAGTTCTTACTATGTTCCAACAACTCTGTTGGTTTTATCCTGCAGTTGGTCCCCATGGAATATTCTTGCCATGCCAAAATCTGATATTTTTGGGTTCATCTCAGCATCTAGAAGAACATTGCTGGTTTTTAGATCCCTATGGATTATCCTAAGTCTTGAGTCCTGGTGAAGATAAAGAATCCCACGAGCAACCCCATTGATAATTTCAAAGCGCTTTTTCCAGTCCAACAAGGAACTTCTTGTGTGATCTACATCAAGATATTTGGCTTTTAAGTAAATAAATGTTATATACTTTAGTAAGAAGCTTAAAAAATATTCTTCAAAATTTTAGAAATGGCATGTACAAGTGAATATTTCCTCTAGACATACCAAAAAGAAAGGAGTCCAAGCTTTTGTTCGGCAAGTATTCCAGGACTAACATCCTTTCTTCTCCCTTTATACAACAGCCTAAAAGTTTCACAAGATTCCTGTGTTGAAGTCTGGCTATCAGCGCAACTTCATTTTTGAATTCTTCAATTCCTTGTCCTGAAGTTTTGGACAATCTTTTTACAGCAATCTTCTGATCATTTGCTAACTGACCCTGAAGTTATGGTTCAGTACTATTATAAATCTTTCAGAAGAAGAGTATTTTCTACTTCTCAGAAGAAATCATTCAATTATGAAATGTTAGGACTTTGATATTAGAACTGACCTTATAAACAGTGCCAAAACCACCTTGGCCAAGTTTATTGACAGGAGAGAAGTTGCCTGTGGCTACTATTATTGCGCTCAGATGGAAAAATTGCAGCTCTGGGTGTCTCCTAGTTTCCTCAAGTTCATCCGCCTCCACAAAATCTTTGCCATCACAAAAAGCATATTAGCATTCATTTTCTCCTTAGTGTTCTGTTTGCACACTAGAAAATGGAAATTTAACACAGCACATATGGATCCTATTGAAGCGGAGTGGTTCAGTCAGACTGCAAAAGTGTTATGACCAATTCCATACTTTTATGAGCACACTGCTTTTTATTTAGATGAAACAGTTAAACAATTCAAAGCAGATGAGTACTTCTCATACCTTTCATCTTCCTCTTTTTCTTAAGCCACCAGCAAGCAAACCCAATGATTAGTACCAATGCAACAGCCGCCATTGGAATAGCCAGCAAGCCCCTACTTTTGAGAAAACCTTTTGATTTTCTGGTATTCTCAGCTACACAAAAGAGTGAAACAAAGGATTAGAAAACCATGAAAAAGAGAACTCATGTGGAATCCAAAACCAGTCCAGTAAGTTCCACACAGATTCTGAAATTTACAATTGAATTTTCCTTTGCAAGCGAAGTAGTACCTAATTCCATTTTGTCCACACGAACATATAGATCTCGCCCTAGCTCCGTGTGTACTAAAATGTCCCACAACTCACCAAACCATGCCAAGCAATTAATGCGGCCTTCCCATTCTATGCTCATATATGCCGTGCAGGAACAATTGCTTAAGCACACCTGCTCACACTCATTGGCACTAGTATTTGGCAACAATTGTGCTGCTTTCGATGTGTCTGGATCTTTCACCCGTGCCACCTTCACAAACCCATCCCCATCCCCACAGTTTGACACCCCAATTCGCTTGCTCACACACCCGTCTGACCCATCTCTCCGGTTCCAATCATTCAAAGATTTTGGTTCATACCCCGGTAGGCACTCACATTCAAACATATTAATATTGTCAGGGCTACATTTGCTGTTGGCACCACACTGTCCATATTGGTCACACCTGTATTTTGGTGCAGCAAAGAGTACCTCCCACTGATTAACAGCATCATTCCATCTCAGTTGTTCATTTACCCCATAATCCGTGACCACCGATCTAATTACAGAGGTGTTATCAGTTGAAAAGAAATAATACATTTCTTCATTATTACTCACAAAAACGGGCCATGGCCCTGGATCACATCTCCAATATTTGGTCAAACCCTTGTACAGAAAATATTGGGGCGTAGCAGTCTGGTTTGAATAGAGCCTCAAGCTATAGTTACCAGTTCCAGGGTCATTTTGGGACTTCCAAGATGTTAAGACCCATTCCAACCCAATTTTCCAATTCAACCCAACTTTCATTCCTGGAAGTAGAGTATCTGTAGGATAATCAAAACTTTGCCATACAAAGCTTTCACTTTTACTATCCTGGAAAAGCACTAAATTTCCTGTATCTAAAAGCTGAGCTACACTGCTTGTGGTTTGGACCGACACATTTGTGGACCAAATAGAAAGGTTCTCAGTATTGTGAGCATAAAGAACCAATTTTCCGTACCTGTTGATTGTGAGAACACCAGAGGTATCATTGATGGGGTTGTTTCTGTTTGCAACCCAAACCACTGCCTTTTCAGACTTATTAGCATACCAAATCCCAACATAGCGAGAGCTCGAGTTGCCGGGGCTGAAGAAGCCTAATTCAAAGTTGCTTTCTTTGGACACTAGAAAGTCACCATCTTTCACCTGCTGGTTCACTGCTATGGTGTCAATGGATGAGCAAAATGGGAAGAGGAAGAAGAAGACAAGCAAAGTATTTAAAAACATTTATTTTTCTGGGCATTTGCGAATTTGCATGTGCGATGAACGGGGTGGTGTTTCACTTATTTTTTCTTGGTTAGTTGATTGTCTGTCACTCTCCGCATTTGAATCATTGACAATGTTTGATCTTTTTTTTTTCTTTTTTTTTTGGGTCAAGTGTTTGATCTTTTTTGTGTTGAAATTTCTGGGTAGTTGGCACGTTTGAATATCCAGCAGCATGGCACCTTTCGTTTGGTCATTGGTAGTACAACACGATAACAACAGTCACACCTGGCTATCTATAGGCGCCATTCTGGGCTGAACTCAAAAGTCTTGGATGTTGACTGACTCAATGAGTCAACCATTGAGATTAAATGCTGGATTGATATCCTTGTTAACTATGCTGACTTCAGGAGGATTGGGTTGCATTAGTCTTGGTAGAACTGTTATAATTTAACTGCATCTAGATAAATGGGTTGAGAAGTTACGAGTAATTTTGAGATTGAGAAGTTATGAGTGATTTTGAGGATTTTTTTACTATCAGAAGTTATGAGTAATGTGCAATTGTAATTGTATGAAGACAAAACAAGACCGAAGATTGCAAATGGCATTATTTCGTGTGACATTTTGAAGATCGTAAAGGTTGCAATTTGTGGCTTATGTAAAGGTTGCATCTTCAAATTCATCACACTTTCTAAAAGTTCACATTATGCAATGCCAGTGCCATTGAAGATCAATAAAACAAATTTAGCATTTTGATATTGTGAAAATAAAAGCACGAGCATGAATCATTATCGAGCTTCAACTTTGGTTATTGTCAAGTCATTAACCGAATATAAATGCAGACAGGAACTTTTTCTGAAGACAAATGCAGGCTGCTGAGGAGATGGTAGAGATGCTTCACCACTCAACATAAACACAACGGCTGACATGGTTGGTCGGTCCTTCGAGTCTTCTTGCACGCACAAGAGCCCGACTTGAATACATCTTGTGACTTCATCAGAATGATATGACTCTAGTAATGAATCCACAATTTCTAAGGCTCTGTCTTCTCTCCACAGCTGCCAAACCTGTAGTTGTTGACAGTAACATTTTGAAAAGTGATGAATATAAGTAGTCAGTGGTAAGTAGTAAGCAGAAATTGTAGGCAAAGTTTGTGTTGCTCACATATCCTATCAAATTCATGGAATGGTCCTCTTGATAAGAGCCATTATTTTTCTTGCCACTCACAATCTCCAATAATACAATCCCAAAACTAAAGACATCTGATTTGGTTGAATATCTTCCAAACACTGCATACTCTGGTGACATATATCCACTGCAATTGAACAAAATAAAACTGCATTACAGCCAAAGAATAGTAAAATGAAAATGAAAGGTAAGATTATGGTGCTTCAATCCATGAACGTGTGAGTGCAAGTAGGATTCTTACTATGTTCCAACAACTCTGTTGGTTTTATCCTGCAGTTGGTCCCCATGGAATATTCTTGCCATTCCGAAATCTGAAATTTTTGGGTTCATCTCAGCATCTAGAAGAACATTGCTGGTTTTTAGATCCCTGTGGATAATCCTAAGCCTTGAATCCTGGTGAAGATACAGAACCCCACGGGCAACCCCATTGATAATTTCAAACCGCTTTTTCCAATCCAACAAGGACCTTCTTGAGTGATCTACATCAAGACATTTATCTTTTGTGTAAATAAATGTTATATAGCTTGGTAAGAAGCATCAAACATATTCTTCATAATATTAGAAATCGAATGAACAAAGTCAAGAGGCATTCGGGAAGCGACTATCTTTCCTCTAGACATACCGAAAACAAAGAAGTCCAAGCTTTTGTTTGGCAAGTATTCAAGGACTAACATCCTTTCCTCTCCCTGTATACAGCATCCTAAAAGTTTCACAAGATTCCTGTGTTGAAGTCTGGCTATCAGAGCAACTTCATTTTTGAATTCTTCAATTCCTTGTCCTGAACTTTTGCAGAGTCTTTTTACAGCAATCTTCTGATCATTTGGTAGCTGACCCTGAAGTTATGGTTCAGTACTACTATTAAGCTTACAGAAGAAGAGTATTTTCTACTGCTCAGAAGAAATCATTCAATTATGAAACGTTAGGACTTTGAAACGGGACCTTACCTTATAAACAATGCCAAAACCACCTTGGCCAAGTTTATTGACAGGAGAAAAGTTGTCTGTAGCTGCTATTATTGCACTCAGATGGAAAAATTGCAGCTCTGGGTGTCTCCTACTTTCCTCAAGTTCATCTGCCTCCACAAAGTCTTTGCTATCACAAAAAGAAAATTAGCATTCATTTTCTCCTCAGTGTTCTATTTGCATTGACAAAATGACTGGAAAATGGAAATTTAACACAGCACATAAGGATCCTATTGAAGAGGAGTGTTTAGATGTGAATTACAGACTGCACACGTGTTATGACCAGTTCCGTATTTCCATGAGCACATTGCTTTTTTATTTAGATGAAACAGTTAAACAATTCAAAACAGATGAGTACTTCTCATACCTTTTATCTTCCTCTTTTTATTAAGCCACCAGCAGGCAAACACAATGATTAGTACCAATGCGAGAAGAACAGCCACTATTAGAATAGCCAGCAAAACCCTCCTTTTGAGAAAACCTTTCGATTTTCTGGTATTCTCAGCTACAAATAAGAGTGGGACAAAGATTAGAACCATGAAAAAGAGAAATCATATGGACGCCAAAACCAGTCCAGTAAGTTCATAGATTCTGAATATTTACAATTGAAATTTTTCTTGGCAAGACAAGTAGTACCTAATTCCATTTTATCCACACGAACATACAGATCTTGTCCTAGCTCTGTGCGGACTAAAATGTCCAGCAATTCACCGTACCATACCAAGCAATCAATGCGGCCTTCCCATTCTATGCTCATATATGCGGTGCAGGAACAATTACTTAAGCACACCTGCTCACACTGATTGGCACTAATACTTGTCAACAATTGTGCTGCTTTTGTTGTGTCTGGCTCTTTCACCCGTGCCACCTTCACAAACCCTTCCCCATTCCCACATTTTGGCAGCCCAATTCGCTTACTCACACACCCCTCTGACCCATCTCTCCTGTTCCAATCATTCAAAGATTTTGGTTCGTACCCTGGTAGACACTCACACTCAAACATATTAACGTTGTCAGGGCTACATTTGCTGTTGGCACCACACTGTCCATATTGGTCACACCGGTATTTTGGTGCAGCCCATAGTTCCTCCCATTGATTAACAGCGTCGCTCCATCTCAGTTGTTGATTTAACCCATAATCCGTCAACACCCATCTAATTACAGAGGTGTTATCAGTCACAAACAAATAATACATTTCTTCATTACTACTCACAAAATCGGGCCACGGCCCTGGATCAATTCTCCAATATTTGCTCACACCCTTATACAGAAAATATTGGGGCGTAGCAGTCTGGTTTGAAAAGAGCCTCAAGCTATAGTTCCCAGTTCCAGGGTCATTTTGGGACTTCCAAGATGTTAAGACCCATTCAAACCCAATTTTCCAATTCAACCCAACTTTCATTCCGGGAAGTAGAGTATCTGTAGGGTAATCAAAACTCTGCCACATAAAGCTTTCACTTTTACTAATACTATCCGGGAAAAGCACTAAATTTCCTGTATCTAAAAGCTGAGCTACACAAGTGCTTGTGGTTTGAAGAGACACATTTGCGGACCAAATAGAAAAGCTGTCAATATCGTGCGCATAAATAACCAAATTTCCATACCTGTTGATGGTGAGGACGCCAGAGGTATCATTGATGGGGTTGTTTCTGTTTGCAACCCAAACCACTGCCTTGTCAGACTTATTAGCATACCAAATTCCAACATAGCGAGAGCTCGAATTGCCGGGGCTGAAGAAGCCTAATTCAAAGTTGTTTTCTTTGGACACTATAAAGTCACCATCTTTCACATGCTGGTTCACTGCTATGGTGTCAATGGATGTGCAAAATGGGAAGAGGAGAAGGAAGAACACAAGCAAAGCTTTGAAAAGCATTTTGTTTTCTGGGAAATTTTGGAGTTTGCATGTATAATGAATCGGTTGGTTTTTCTGCTACTTTTGAATTATTGACAATGTTTTATATCAGCAGCATGGCTCTACTCAAAGTGTTGAATGTTGACTGACGAAATCGGCGGCAGGCGGACAGACAGTCATTATTGATTTTCTTTTTATAGATAATCATGGCATGATGATTATGATTAAGTTGGAATCCAAAACTCTTCGCCCGTGAATAATATGCGGGCCTGTTGGTTACACCTTCTGGGCTTGGACTGGCTTGTACTAACTTTTTATCGCATGTTTGATTTGCTTGGTACTAATTTTAGGGGGCTTCTACAATGAGGAGTTAAAGTGAGGGGACCAATCCGACCGTCAAAACATTTAAAATATTTAAGTCCCATGATTTCTTTATATTTGTTGATGGTGAGATTTGACCTCCTCAAATAACCTCTTCACTTTAAGCCCTCATTATAGTTTTTCCGCTAATTTTAACTCATCTTAAATACTGGATTGATAGGGGAACGGTGGGTGATAGCCATGTCAACTATGGGCCGACTTTGGGAATGGGTTGGCCATACTTGACCTTTCCACAAGCCCAAATAGGTAGAGTTTTGTTTGAAGACAATGTTGGTGTTTGTCAACCCAAAACTGTGTGCGCCTAAAGTAGAGAGACACTAACGAGGGTTTTTTTTTTTTTTTAAAAAAAAAAATTTATAATTTGGTCGAAAGGGAAACTTCATTGAAGGGAAAGCGAAGCAACCCAAAAGGAACAGAAACAAGGAAAGAAAAGATAACAGCCTAGGGGACAGACCCTTCCAGGAGCAAGCAGAAAAAACACAGACAACCTAGAGAAAAAGAAAACAGAAAGTAACAGAAACTAGAGGGCCACAAACTAGGACGTCACCAAAGGAGCACGTCAGCCTCTAGCTAAAAGGAGATTAACATGGGGGGCAAGGCAGACCATCCGATTGAAGAACAAACACAAGGGAAGAAGGGGGTCTGTCAAGCCAAACTTTATCGCACTTCGTCCTCCTAGCAATAGCCGCAACGGACCAATTATTTTGAGGGGGTCTATAATGACCATTCAATTAATTGCAAGAGTAAGTGAATCGTTGAATTTACATCCAACGGTGAGTGATCACATAAACGATAAAAATTGTTTACGTTATGACCAACATATACAAGTAGGGCCATTCCAAGAGTTTTTTTTTTTTTTTTTTTGGTCAAAAGACGATTCCAAGAGTCTAACACTTTGATAATTATGACAGCAAGAGCATGTATCATTATCGAGATTCAAGTTTAGTTATTGTCAAGTCGTTAATAGACGAATCTGATCCTTTTGGAATTGATGGATCAGAAGCATCATTGCCGGAACTTTTTCTGAAGACAAATGCAGGCTGCTTAGGAGATGGAGGAGATGCTTCACCACTCAACATGAAGACAACAGTTGACATGCTTGGTCGGTCCTTTGGATCTTCTTGCACACACAAGAGACCGACTTGAATGCATCTCATGACTTCATCAAAATGATATGACTCTAGTGATGATTCCACAATTTCTAAGGCTCTATCTTCTCTCCACAGCTGCCAAACCTGTAGTTGTTGACAGTAACATTTTCAGAAGGGATGAATATGAGTATTAAGTAGGAAGGGGAAATTGTTGGCAAAGTTTGTGTTGCTCACATGTCCTATCAAGTTCATGGAATGGTCCTGTTGATAAGAGCCATTGTTTTTCTTGCCACTCACAATCTCCAATAATATGATCCCAAAACTAAAGACATCTGATTTGGTTGAATATCTTCCAAACACTGCATACTCTGGTGACATATATCCACTGCATTACAATGACCAAAGAGTAATAAGATGAATATGGAAGGTGAGATTATGGTGAATTAATCCATGAATCTGTGATTGCAAGTATAGTTCTTACTATGTTCCAACAACTCTGTTGGTTTTATCCTGCAGTTGGTCCCCATGGAATATTCTTGCCATGCCAAAATCTGATATTTTTGGGTTCATCTCAGCATCTAGAAGAACATTGCTGGTTTTTAGATCCCTATGGATTATCCTAAGTCTTGAGTCCTGGTGGAGATACAGAATCCCACGAGCAACCCCATTGATAATTTCAAACCGCTTTTTCATCCAACAAGGAACGTCTTGTGTGATCTACATCGAGATATTTGGATTTTGAGTAAATAAATGTTATATATATATATATATACTTTAGTAAGAAGCTTAAAAAAATTTCTTCCAAATTTTAGAAATGGCATGTACAAATGAATATTTCCTCTAGACATACCAAAAAGAAAGGAGTCCAAGCTTTTGTTCGGCAAGTATTCCAGGACTAACATCCTTTCTTCACCCTTTATACAACAGCCTAAAAGTTTCACAAGATTCCTGTGTTGAAGTCTGGCTATCACTGTAACTTCATTTTTGAATTCTTCAATTCCTTGTTCTGAAGTTTTGGACAATCTTTTTATGGCAATCTTCTGATCATTTGCTAACTGACCCTGAAGTTATGGTTCAGCACCATTATAAAGCTTTGAGAAGAAGAGTATTTTCTACTGCTCAGAAGAAATCATTCGATTATGAAATGTTAGGACTTTGAAATGGGACCTTACCTTATAAACAGTGCCAAAACCACCTTGGCCAAGTTTATTGACAGGAGAGAAGTTGCCTGTGGCTACTATTATTGCGCTCAGATGGAAAAATTGCATCTCTGGGTGTCTCCTACTTTCCTCAAGTTCATCCGCCTCCACAAAATCTTTGCTATCACAAAAAGCATATTAGCATTCATTTTCTCCTTAGTGTTCTGTTTGCACACTAGAAAATGGAAATTTAACACAGCTCATATGGATCCTATTGAAGCGGAGTGGTTCAGTCAGACTGCAAGAGTGTTATCACCAATTCCATACTTTTATGAGCAAACTGCTTTTTATTTAGATGAAACGGTTAAACAATTCAAAGCAGGTGAGTACTTCTCATACCTTTCGTCTTCCTCTTTTTCTTAAGCCACCAGCAGGCAAACCCAATGGTTAGTACCAATGCAACAGCCGCCATTGGAATAGCCAGCAAGCCCCTACTTTTGAGAAAACCTTTCGATTTTCCGATATTCTCAGCTACACAAAAGAGTGAGACAAAGGATTAGAAAACCATGAAAAAGAGAACTCGTGTGGACACCAAAACCAGTCCAGTAAGTTTCACAAAGATTCTGAAATTTACAATTGAATTTTCCTTGGCAAGCGAAGTAGTACCTAATTCCATTTTGTCCACACGAACATATAGATCTCGCCCTAGCTCTGTGTGTATTAAAATGTCCCACAACTCACCGTACCATGCCAAGCAATCAATGCTACCTTCCCATTCTATGCTCATATATGCCGTGCAGGAACAATTGCTTAAGCACACCTGCTCACACTCATTGGCACTAGTACTTGTCAACAATTGTGCTGCTTTCATTGTGTCTGGATATTTCACCCGTGCCACCTTCACAAACCCATCCCCATCCCCACAGTTTGACACCCCAATTCGCTTGCTTACACACCCGTCTGACCCATCTCTCCGGTTCCAATGATTCGAAGATTTTGGTTCATACCCCGGTAGGCACTCACATTCAAACATATTAATATTGTCAGGGCTACATTTGCTGTTGGCACCACACTGTCCATATCGGTCACACCGATATTTTGGGGCAGCGAAGAGTTCCTCCCACTGATTAACCGCATCATTCCATCTCAGTTGCTGTAGTATCCCATAATCCGTCAACAAGGATCTAATTACAGAGGTGTTATCAGTTGAAAGGAAAAAATACATTTCTTCATTATTACTCACAGAACTGGGCCATGGCCCTGGATCACTTCTCCAATATTTGGTCAAACCCTTGTACAGAAATATTTGGGGCGTAGCAGTCTGGTTTGAATAGAGCCTCAAGCTGTAGTTACCAGTTCCAGGGTCATTTTGGGACTTCCAAGATGTTAAGACCCATTCCAACCCAATTTTCCAATTCAACCCAACTTTCATTCCTGGAAGTAGAGTATCTGTAGGATAATCAAAACTTTGCCATATAAAGCTTTCACTTTTACTATCCCGGAAAAGCACTAAATTTCCTGTATCTAAAAGCTGAGCTACACAAGTGCTTGTGGTTTGGACCGACACATTTGTGGACCAAATAGAAAGATTCTCAGTATTGTGAGCATAAAGAACCAATTTTCCATACCTGTTGATGGTGAGGACGCCAGAGGTATCATTGATGGGGTTGTTTCTGTTTGCAACCCAAACCACTGCCTTGCCATACTTATTAGCATACCAAATTCCAACATAGCGAGAGCTCGAGTTGCCGGGGCTGAAGAAGCCTAATTCAAAGTTGCTTTCTTTGGACACTAGAAAGTCACCATCTTTCACCTGCTGGTTCACTGCTATGGTGTCAATGGATGAGCAAAATGGGAAGAGGAAGAAGAAGACAAGCAAAGTATTTAAAAACATTTATTTTTCTGGGCATTTGCGAATTTGCATGTGCGATGAACGGGGTGGTGTTTCACTTATTTTTTCAGCGGTACAACAGGTTACAGGACAATAACATTCACACACATTGGTAGTCAGTTACCGACTTTTCCAACCATCATTATTGACTGTCTATTTATGGCAAGATTTTAGTGAGGCGGCTACTGCTAGCTACTTCTGACTTATGAAGTTGTTCTTGCTTGCATAAAAAAATAAAAATAACAATAAAAATAAAAATTGAAACCCAAAACACTTGGAATGTTTCCGCGAAGTAGACATGGGCCAAATTTAGGAATGTGTTGCCCGATACGACCTTACCCAAACCCAAATTGGCGGAGCCCTGTTTGAGGACCATGTTCATGTTGCTGTTGGTGTGGCTGTTACTGGGGCCAGATTTGTGTGTGCTTAAAGGTTGCTTGGGCCTCAGGCCTCCACTTTACCAAAAAATTGACTATTTTTTCAATTACATTTCCTAATATTGCTTGAGTCCTGGTGAAAATACAGAATCCCACGAGCAACCCCATTAATAATTTCAAAGCACTTTTTCC